TTTTTTTTTTTTGGCACACTGGAGATCAAACTCAGGACCTTGCGCTTGCCAGACAGGCACTTATGCCTCTGAGCTATCTGTCCAGCCCCAATAGTTAACTTTCTATTTAGGACAAAACATAGGTGCTGATTTTATTCCTAATTATAAAGTTATTTCATTTTAGTTGGTTATTTGTTCCCGAAGTTTATTTATTTTTTGGCGGAACCGGGGATTGAACTCAGGCCTTTGCACTTGCCAGGGAAGTGCTTATTCCACTGAGCCATCTCCCCGGCCCCCCTGAAGTTTAAATAGTATAACTTCATAAGGTTTTCAATCTAAACAGTATCCAATGTTTTAGCCTAATTTCTCTTGTGCTTTATATATAAAGTATGATTTCCTGAGGTTTACTTTTAAGACATAACTGTCACATATGAAAAAGAAAGTGTTTTTTCCAGTAAGACTCCAGACATTAAACTGTGGTGCCAACATAACTTTTTATTCAACTGTGGTTCAAAAAAAGTTTTTTAGAATGAATGCATTTAGATGACCAAATACTTTTAAAAACAATCTTTGCCAATAGTTTAAATACTTCTAAACTTCAAAATGGAAGGCCAGAATAACTAGCCATGGCTATGTAGTACCACAACATGTTAATCAAAGGCTTCTCAACACTGAAAGCCTTGTGTGACCAAGAACTACTTTTAACAAGTGTAAATAAGGGATTAAAACCATGCCATTGACAAGTTAACTTACCCCTGGGCTCCAGGACGGCTTGTCAGTTTAGTCTTTGGAGGTCCCCGAATACCATTTTAAGTGTTACCATGTTACTGCTGCTGAGTAACAGTGCAAGTGCTAAAATGCAAAATTCAGATGGTACAGGGTTTGGAAATCATGCAGATTTAAGATGCAGAAAAAAATATTAAAACAACTCAAGATCCTTTTACAGAAGAAACTGAATAGCAAAACAATGTGGCAATCACAGGTCAAAAGAATGACTTCATTTAGAAATGTTTAAAACACGCAACTTGCAAAATGACAAACCTATTTATCGTAATTTAAGTAGCTAAGGGTACCAGATAAACTATCAACACAAAAAACGGTCACATTCTTCCAATTAGAAAACAAATTCTTCAAGTCTCATAGTCGTTACATATATATATATATATATATATATATATATATATATATATAAAATATATATATATAAAATACAAGAGAATTAACTTATTGCTTTTACATCTTACCAACCACTGTGAGTCTAATCTGACTGAGTTTCCCCCCTTTGGAGGCAGTCCACTTAACACTTCCAGACAGACAACCCACCCTCCTCGTTTTTAAAGCTATCGGGCTTCTTAATGGATTTCAGGCACAAGGCAATTTGTGGTTTCTTCTACTTTATCCCTATTGCAATTAATTCCACTTTTCAGATCCTAAGCAGGAAGGTACTTGTAGTCCCTTTTTCATTGATATGCTTTGCTACAAAGCATTTGAAAATGATCAACACTGTTTTGCCCACTCTTATTTTTAGAAGGCATGATTTCCCAATGGAGATTTATACAGGCCATGTAAATAGAACATCACCCAAATGCACAGAGGCACTAAGAAAAAGCTGGAGGGTACTGCTTACCATTTTACGTGTGGTCACCCAGACTTATTAAAAACTAGTTTTAAAAAAAGAAAAAAAATCTTTTCGCTTTGGACAATGCAAGAACAAATAGCAATTAAGTCTGGGTATCAGGTGTCAATGCATGACAGGTGATGAATCCATTTGACTTGAGACAACTTTTCAAATAAGTTTATTTGAAGCAAAATAAACTACTGCCAAGAAACTTTATGAAAGTTCCATCTCAAAAGGGTCAAAAAAGGGGAATTAACTGCTATGAATTCTTTGCATTCAGGGCTGCAAAACAAAGACACATATTATTTAAATCAGTTTTATTTAAGAATTTCCAACATTGACAACTCTTATAAAAAGCATCCAAGCACAGGACACAGAACTGCAGCAAACAGCATTCTTATGGGGAGCTAACAGACATGAGAACTTCCACCCTTCTTTGAGACAGCTGAGCTCACTGGTGAACTCTGCTTCCATGTACTCCTGCAAAGCACATCACAAGCTCAGTCCATGTTCTCAACCCATCAGCTTCAGTTCACGTTACCACACTTACATATCAGTAACAGAGGAGAACACACACCATACAGCATTCACAGCAGTTGACAAAGGGGGAGGGGAAGTACAAGTATCATTTCACTTAACACATCCAACTAACGTGGGTTATCTAACAACAAAACTCACTTAAAGTCTTCCAACAGGTGTGGATGTCCCTTGAATGCAAAAAACATTCGTACATTATTTGCTATCATTGCTCTCTGCACACTCTCACCAAAGCCACAGGATTGAGAGACACATCTTGCCAAGTTAAAAAATATCCATTATGCACCACCAAGTCTCTGCACGCGCTCTCTCCTTTTCTCGCTCATACTAGCCTTTCATGCCTCGGCACCACCATCAATCCCACACAAGGTTTCAAAAGTTCAAACAGCCTTCTGGTTCCATATCACAGCCTTGCGTTCATAGCGTTGATACGACTCCATGAAATAAAGAGTAGCGGATAAAAATGGGACACCCACCGTCAAAGACGCAGCCTGTGCAGCGTGATGACGAATTCTTGGATGAGAAAGCATGTGGACAGAAGTAATCCTACGGCGGAATATTTACAGCACTACTTTCAATGAAGTGCTTCTTCCATAAACATTTGAAATGAGATGAACTGCAGAGATTAAATGAAGGCTTCATATTGTACTCTCGTATGTGAGGGGAGACAAGTGTTAAAAACAAAACCAGAACAACCAAACACAGTGACATCATGATGTCCCAAAAAGGAGATATTCCTAAGGAAGAAATCTATATGGTGGGGCTCAAATTAAAAGAGGAGAAAAGATGTAGTTCTAATTAATGGCTTCCACTTTGAACATGCAAAGAATTCACTTAACAAGTCCAGGGATAAAATATTACAAGAGAAACCTTTTGATATCAATTGTAGTGTGTTGGTTTACCAATCAGGCAAACAGCAGTTCACTTTCAGCCACTCAATAGTTCAACCTTTATGTAACAAAACTTATAAAATTCCTTTAGTTTTTTTTCTAAAGAAAAATGTCAAAAATACTGCTGAATATACTCCACACTGACCAAACCAATTTTGAAAATTCTTAGTACATATGTATTTTACAATATACTTACCATGAGTTTAGAAAAATTCCCACCATTCTGTACCAACTAACCATAACCCACTGTCTACATCCCCCAGCCGGAAGACTTAGAATCCATGCTTGAGCCAAAGCCTCCATTAAAGCCACTGCCTGACCCTGCGTTTGATGCTGATCCCCAACCAATCGCGGCACCAGAATTAGAACCACTATAAGAGTTATTTCCAGAACCAAAAGGCTGGTTTGAATCCCTCTGCATGTTGCCTTGGCTTTGGTTATTACTCGATGGGCCCGACTGGTTCTGCTGACTGGCTAGCATGCCCATCATGCCCCAACTGCTCTGCAGAGCAGCCTGGGCTGCAGCCATCATTGCTGGATTAATGCTAAAAGCACCAAAATTCATCCCTCCACCCATGTTACTACCCTGATTATTTCCCAAGCCAGCTCCACCCCCCCTGTTTCCAAACCCACCCTGATTCCCAAAGCCACCTGGATTACCACCAAATCTTCCACTTCTTTCTAACTGTCTATTGCTACTGTGCTTAGGTTCGGCATTGGATATATGCACGCTGATTCCTTTAATGATCAAGTCCTCTCCACAAAGAGATTGGGCAACCTATAAGAAATAAAGGGTGTAAACAAAAGGTTAAACCACTGACTGATATACAAAATAGCAACAAACCCAAATTTTAAGCATTATTTGGAAAGAAAAAGCAGTGAACGCTCACTTCATTTAAACTCCCAATACAGCCTTTGGCTTTAGTTAACACTAACAATAAAATCTCAGAGAGGCCTGGGGTGAGCTGAGGCGGCAACTGAGACTGGGTATGGTGGTACACCCCTGTAACCCCAGCACTCGGGAGGCTGAAAACAAGAGAATCACTATGAGTCTGGTCTATGTAGTGAAACTCTGTAGACCCTGTACTAAATTCATAAAAAATACATAAATAAAATTTCTGTTCCTTTTCTAAAGATACATAACATTCCCAAAGGACCCATCCTGAAATATACAGAAAGAGAGCACCCCGCAAATACTGGCCCACACACCCTGCACCTTGTAAGGTCAGAAAGCTTAGCCAAAACAAGATTTCAAAAGCTGCACCGGCAAAGTTCAAGAGAAATCACCTAATTATCTGAGACAAATTATTAAGAAAAATACCTGATCATCTGCAAAGGTAACAAAGGCAAAAGCCCTGAATGGCTTGGGAATAAAGACATCTACCACTTCTCCATATTGGCTGAAGAACTGCCG